GGTAGCCAAAAGCACATTTCCACAGAGGAATTTTTCATTTGACTTCACTGGCTAGTATAGACTTACTTGGGTTTAAAAATGTATCTTTTCTGTCACTTTAGTTTTGTGATTTTACACAAATTGCATAACTTTTCTAAGCCTAGATTTCATTTCCTGTTAAATGGGGTAATACTGGTTATAAAGACAAAATGAAATAATAAATTCAAAAGTCCTGACACATTTAAGTCACCCGATAGTGTATGGTTGTGTTTGACCAGGAAACAAATGGGTCACATTGCTATGTTGTTTACATCTCAGCTTTTCTTTCTTTGGCTCTTGAGACATCCACAGTCTCCAGAGACCTAGGCAAAGATCACTTAAATGAGCCAGTTTCAGAAATGTTGCCTTGAAAATAAACAAATAAATAAATAAATAAAATAAAAAAGAAACGTTGCCTTGAAAGTAGAAACGTTGCCTTTGTTGTCTGAGGGTAAATCCTTTTTATTAAAAGGAAAAAAAAACAAAAGTGACCAGAAGTTAATACTAGAAATAAGCATGGAGTGGCGGAGGCCAGGATCTACCACCAATGAGACAGTAAAACAGTGTTTAGCAAGACATTTAATCTGTTCCTTATAAGATTGTTTTCTGTTCTGAGTAGTGAGACAAACGTAGGGATGTGATGTGAAGACCATTGTCGTTTACAGTTCTGTTTGCCTTTAGTCCCATCTGTCCCACAGGCTGAGGCAAAAGGCTTATGAGCTCAAAAATTTGAAGTCAACCAGGCAAGCTTGTCTAAAAAAAATTTTTTTTAATTCCATGCTACCGTTCTTACAAAAACATTTAGTTAGAAATGGTTACAGTTGATCAGCAAGCAGTTTTAGATGTCAGAAAGCAAGTCATATGCTCAGTTAGTTTTATTTTGTTTTTTGTCTTTTTGAGACAGGGTCTCACTATGCAGTTCAGGCCAGCCACAAACTCGCAACAGTCTTGCCTCAGTCTCCCGAGTGCTGAGATTACAGGTGTGCACCGCCACTCCCAGCTTTTTTTTTTTTTTTTTTTGTACTGGGAATCAAACTCATGACCTCGCATTGGCTAGGCAGGCGCTGTGCCGCTGAGCTATATCCCCATCCCGCTCAGTTAGTTTATGCTGTAGTGTAGCATCCTGAAATTAGGCTTTTTAATAAATACAAGCCTTTCAGTTTGCAATTCTGAACTCTGAGATCTGTCCAAGTAACTTTCTATGTATATTACAGCTGGACTTAATCTAACAGTTACTTTAAAAACTTTAAAAACTGTTAGATGCTGGGTGTGGTGGCACACACCTGTAATCCCAGCACTGGGCTACAAAGTGAACTCAAGGCCAGCCTGAACTGCATAGTGAGACTCTGTCTCAAAAAGACCAAAAAAACAAAAACAAAAAAACTGTTAAGGATATAGATTTGCAGAATGTGAGGCAGTGTTTTAATACCATAAACCAGTCATCCCTAGCCCAGCTGTGTCAGTCAGCATCCCCTGATAACTAAGTTAGAAATTCAAATTCCTGGGGCTGGGGATTTAGCTCAGCGGCACAGCGCCTGCCTGGCAAGCGCAAGGTCATGAGTTCGGTTCCCGGTACCAGAAAAAAAAAAAAAGAAATTCAAATTCCTAACAAAATCCCAGACTGGGTTTGGGGCTCAGCAATCTGGTTGAACAACCCCCTGCCCCATGTTTCTGATGATTCTGATGTGTGCTGAAGTTTGAGAAATGCTGTCTCAAAATACAGAATATTCAGTTATTTAGAATGTTCCACTGATTTTAGGGAGTATAAATTTCCTTCTATAGCTATTCTCAGTAGACTGTATAACTGTCAGTTGCAGCCATATATTTTGGGCAGTCTAGACCCATTCTGTTAGAATTCCTGTCATACATAACATTCAGCTGTATGTACTTCATTGTCACCCCCATAACTGGGGATTACAGTATATAAACAGTGAAGATGGGGACCATATCTCTTGCTCTGTTGGGCCAGGTGCCTGGCCTTTTGTAAATCTCCCATGGTGTAATTAACCCATATCTCTCCTGTCATCTGCTTATATGTAAGAAGTATTCAGACACTTTCAGTGACTTATGAAGTTCCTTAAGGATGGGAAGTCCTTTTGGATGCAAGGGTGCTGTCTGATGAAACTATCTCAACCTGCAAATTTGAAAGTATTGATGGTGCTGATGGATATATCCATGGCCTTGATAGTGGAGATAGTTTTACAAGTATATACTTATTTCCACACTCCTCACTGTACACACTAAATACATATAGTTTTTACATGTCAGTCATATTTAAGAAGAGTGATTTTAAAAAGTACTTTGGTGCATTCTCTAGTTTAGGACATGGACTGTATTTGAACTAAATGATGATGACTATTAAGCACTTTCTAAGAAATGAGCTTTAATTGGGCATATTTTACTGTCTTTATAGCAATCTGACAAGGTAGCTGGTAAGTCTGTTTTATAAATAAGGAAACCAAAATTAAGAGAATGGCAGAGTGAGGACCAGGTTTTTCTTGTTTATTTGTTTTGTTTTTATATAGCCCAGGCTAGCCTTGAACTCTCAATTCTCTTGCCTCAGCCTGCTGAGTGCTAAGATTACAGGCATGTGCTTGCTACTGCACCCAGCTAGAACCAGATCTTTCAGACTAGGAACTGGTAGCCAAAAGCACATTTCCACAGAGGAATTTTAATGGAAGTGTTCATTTAATTATCTTTCGTTCTTTACCAAGCTGTGACTTTGTACCTGACGAAGATTTTGATGTTTTGTTTGCTTTTGGTTTTTTGTGGTACTAGGGATTGAACCCAGGGGTGTTCTACCACTGAGCTACATTCTGGCCCTTTTCATTTTTTATTTTGAGACAGGGCCTCGATAAGTTGCACTGGCTGGGCTCAAACTAGTAATCCTCTTGTTTCAGTCTCCCAAGTAGCTGGAATGAGCTACTGTGCCTGGCTAAGACTTTGTTATTCTTAAAAAAATTTTTACCTCTTTTTCCTCCATCTTATCCCGTTTTTGTTTTTGGTTTTTGTGTTTTTTTGTTTTGTTTTGTTTTTTCTCGGTACCGGGAACTGAACTCACGACCTTGCGCTTGCCAGGCAGGCACTTTTTTACCCGGTTTGTTTTTTAAAATCCATTTACAGTACCCTTCAGTCAAAAGATACTTGAATGATATAAGAGGTTTCATGTGGATGGCCTAGTCAACCTAACAGCTTTGATGCTTTCAGTCTAAAATTTGCACATTCATCTGAATGATTTGGTCCTGTTACACAGTACTCTCATGTTACTGCTTTAAGCAGTCTTAGCAATTTGCCTTTGTTTAGCAGAGCAGAAATAAATTCTCTTTTTCCTGTTTAGAAATTGAGAAGATTCAGAAAGGTGATTCAAAAAAGGATGATGAAGAGAACTACTTGGATTTATTTTCTCATAAGAACATGAAGCTGAAAGAGCGGGTACTGATACCTGTCAAGCAGTATCCAAAGGTAAGGCAAAAAGCGCCTCTCTTGATTTAACATTGCAGGTAGGAGAGTCACTGGCTATAATCAAGACTTTAGGGATTATAGTACATTTGACCTGAATCATCTGAAGCTTCTTTCCCATGCTTGTACCTACTTCTGACAGTTGAAAGATCCAAACCCATAACAGCAGCATGGCTGTGGTCAGGAAGGAAATACAATTTTTTTATTATCAAAAATAATTCCTTCCCAGTACTCAGGAGGCTGAGGGAGGAGGTTCCTTGCAAGTTCGAGACCAGCCTGAACTGCATAGTAAGATTGTGTCTCAAAAAGATTTTTTAAAAAATTCCTTAGCTGGGCATGGTGATACACACTAGTAACCCCAGCATTCTGGGAGGCTAAGGCAAGAAAATCATGAATTCAAACTCAGCCTGGGGGGCTGGGGATTTAGCTTAGTGGCACAGTGCTTGCCTGGCAAGCGCGATGTTGTGAGTTCGATTCCTGGTACCGGAAAAAAACAAAAAAACAAACAAACAAAAAAAAAACTCAGCCTGGGCCACTTACCAACTTGGTGAGACCTTATCTCAAAATAAAAGTTGGGGGTATAGCTGAGTTCAAAAGGCCTAGATTCAATCCCACATACTACTCTACTGCCCCCCCCCATTATTTTTTATTTATTTATTTTTTATTTAATTTTTTTTTGTCTTTTTGAGACAGGGTCACAATATGCAGCTCAGGCTGGCCTTGAGGTCACTTTGTAGCCTAGGCTGGTCTCAAACTTGGAATGATTCTCCTGCCTAGCTTCCTGAGTGCTGGGATTACGGGCATGCGCCCGGCACCCCCCAATTATTTCTTTCTTATTTATTTCTTAGTCATCTGGGCTAGGTGTAGTGGGACATGCCTGTAATTTCAGTACTCAGAAGGGTGAGGTAGAATGATCGCTGAGTTCGAGGCCAGCCTAGGGTACATAGAGGGTTCGAGGCAGCCTGAATTACATAGCAAGACTCTCTCAAAAAACAAAAAAATGTTTGTTTGGACTACAAGTTCAAAGAAAAAACTAATTCTGAGGAGTTGCTGCCCTTTAAGAGATTGACTTAAAATCTGAAAGAAAGAAAATGTAACACAGGTGGGCGTGGTGGCACATGCCTATAATCCCAGCACTGCTGTGGGAGGTTGCTGAAACAGAAGACTCACCATCAGTTTGAGGCCAGCCTGGGCTACGTAGTGAGTTCAAGGCCAGCCTGAACTACATAGTGAGACCCTGTCTCAAAAAAAAGAACAAGAAAATATAACACAAATCTTTAACTGATTGACGTTAATTTTATTTCTTACTCAAAGCTTATCTTTTCAAGAATTGCTTTCTTGGACCAGGGATATAACTCAGTGGCATTAGTGCCTGCTTGGCAAGCGTGAGATCCTGAGTTCAATTCCCAGTACCGGGAGGGAGGGGGAAAAATTGCTTTCTTTTTCTAGAAAAAGCAGTTGTTTGGTAAACATGCTACTAAAGAGTGCCATGTGTCTGCTCTATTCTGAGATCATCACCTTAAAAATGTTAAAGTGTTTTGTTTATGTTAAAGTATTAAGAATTGTAATGTATTATGGGAAAAGCATCAGACTACATTAGGAAACCCAAATTCAGGTCTAGAAATTGCCACTTTCTTGTTGGATATCCTACAGCTAATCATATAGTACACCCTCTGTATATCCTCTGTCCAGTAAGCTAGGAAGGGTAATACTCTACTATTTTATGTTTTACAGGGTTATTGAAGATCAAATGAGATATATCTATTGAAATATTTTAGAAGCATGTATATTTATAAAATTGATTTTTTTTTTTTCCCTGTCAGTTCAATTTTGTGGGGAAGATTCTTGGACCACAAGGGAATACAATCAAAAGACTGCAGGAAGAGACTGGCGCGAAGATCTCTGTGTTGGGAAAGGGTTCAATGAGAGACAAAGCCAAGGTAAGCTCATGCTAATGAGGCAGAAAAACACCCTAATACCTTCTAGTTGGCCTGGTGTCCAGGACCATTTACTGATTTACAGAGGCTAGCATTTTAGGGCTGGGGATGCAGCTCAGTGTTAGAGCAATTACCTAGCATGTGTGATGCCCCAAGTTCAATTGCCAGTAACATACCACCCTCTCCCCCCAAAAAAGTAGCCTTTTACATGTGTACAAAAGGTGAATCCTTTAAACTTTCATTGGATGCAAGAGATTATAGGCCAAGTTAGTTTACTTTCTTAGGAACCCTAGAAGAACCTAGGTGCGTTCTGGTGGTTCTTTTCTTTTTGACTTTCGGCTATATAGTAATAGAAATAGTAGTAGCATCTTTAGCACTGGTAAACTTACGTGTGAACGGAAGAATGAAGATACTAAAATGTGAACAGCAACATAAATATATGCAAATAGAAATGTTGCAAGTACAGGTGAGTTTAAGATTTAGGTGGTTGTTTTTCTAGACAGCTGGAATGGAAGGCCTGCTAAAAGAATGTACATATTCAAAAGGAACCAGAACTAATCCTGGTAACAAAACCTTCCTAATGGGTTTTACTTTGTTTCCATGCCACAGCTCCATACACTGTGTACTCTGTAAATGCCAAGAAACTTCTTACTACAAGAGAATGGTCTTAGCCTTCTACATCAACTTTTTGGATGAGGTCTACCTGTTACAGTTTAAAAACTTGTTCTTCCACACTTCTTTTTATGTATCCAATTGATAAATGTTGTTTTCTGAGATCCTTTTCTTTTGTCCATTAACATTTCTCATTAAATCCATACAGTTAAGGATTTAATGAGAAATCTGAAGTACATTATTTTTAGCTAATGAGATTTACATGAGCTTTTCTTTTCTCTATCTTCTTTTCTTCTTTGGAACTCCCCAGACCATAAAAGCAGATAAACAACTGGTCGTGATTAATAACTCTACCTTGGATTTAAAAACAAATGCTTATCTGTAAATACGTACATATAGGGGGCTGGGGGCTTAGCTCGGCAGCACAGCGCCTCCCTGGCAAGCATGAGGTCATGAGTTCAATTCCCGGGACCAGAAAAAACAACAACAAAAAAAAGTACATGTATACAGTACATTCATGCCTGCATGCAAATGCTTGACAAATAGCTGTTATCTAACTAGAGATTAGAATTCTTTTCTGTTTTGTGTCTCTTAATAAGAGTTCTAATGAATACCTGATTTAAGAGAAAGTTTACAAAGTACAAGTTTAGCAGGTTGTATGAATTAATTGTTCTCCAGAGCTTATTTTTCTTTTTCTTTAAAATTTATTTTTAGAGGGGTTGTGGTTTGATTTGGGGAGGAGGGTGTTGAGACAGGACCACACTATGTAGTCCAGGCTGGCCTCAAACTCACAGAGTCCTCCTACCTCAGCCTCCCTAGTAATGGGATCACAGGTGTGCACCACCACGTCTGCCTAGGGATTGTAGTTGGAGACAGGGTCTTACTGTATACCCCAGGCTGCCTTCAAACTTGAGATCCTACTGCCACAGCCTCCAGAGTGCTGAGATTACAGGTGTTAACCACCATGGCTCCCGCTTAAACCTGCCCCCCCCCCCCGTGTGTGTGGGGGGGGCGGGGTTACTGAGTATTGAACCCAGGACCTTCATATTAAGCTACATGTTTCATCCAATTTACTTTGAGATAGATTCTCACTAAGTTGTCCAGGTTTGGCTCAAACCTTCAGTTCTCTTGCCTCAGCCTTCTGAGTGCTGGGATTAGAGGTGCATCCCATCATATTAGACTATTTTTTGTTTTTTAATAACAATTGAAGGTTTTCTGTTTTTTTTGCTCTCTTTCATCTAAAAGTAAAGGTATTGTTTTCTCCTTAGTCTGTGTGATATTTCTCTATGTTTTTCCACAGGAAGAAGAGCTTCGCAAAGGTGGAGACCCCAAATATGCCCACTTAAATATGGATCTGCATGTCTTCATTGAGGTCTTTGGACCCCCGTGTGAGGCTTATGCTCTTATGGCTCATGCCATGGAAGAAGTCAAAAAGTTTCTTGTACCAGTAAGGAAATCAATACCCTTTGTCTTCTGGATATGGGAGAAGTAGGATTATATGCTATTGTGAAGGCAGGGGTTGTTAACCAGGGATTCTGCCTGACCCAAATTTGTATACCAAATTCCACATTCATGTTCATTTTCCTGAGGTGGTCCATTGCTCCTACCTAGTTTTCAGCGTACTGTGTCCCAAGGCCACTGTACCCCTCCTTGTCTATGGTTTTCATTGTGCACCAGAATCTGTTGTAAATATCTTGGGGGATCGTAGTGCACCCTTCAAACTTGAAATCCTACTGCCATAGCCTCCAGAGTGCTGGGATTGCAGGTGTTCACCACCATGCCTGCCTTTTAACACCCTCCTCCTCTTTTTGTTTGTGTGTGATACTGAGGATTGAACCCACCATGCCTGCATTCTGATAACCTGGTTAACAAAGATGAATCCTCATTGAGCTCAGTATTTTGGTACTAGTGTGGAACTAGGCACTTGTATTAGGAAAATGGCTAAACCAGGTCCCTGCATTGAAAATTTTACTGTGTGCTTTGTCTAGACTCTTGAGTCTAGACCTAGCAGCAAAAAACTTACAGCATCCAATGTTAATGGATTAAATTCTAACCTGCTGTACTCAGGTTCCTCCCTCGAAGGAATTTATTCTAGTGGAGTTTCATTTGAAAGAAGCATCTGTTAGAGGCTCCCCCTTTGATATTAAAGAACTTGGAGTGCAGCTCCTTTGAGAGTGTATCTGAGGTCCAAGAAAACTTGGAACAGGCCAGGGATGTGTAATCTTACCACATAGTCAGACTACAGGTTGTGTATCCTTTATCTGAAATGCTTGGAACCAGAAGTATCCCAGCATTAGCAATTTATTTATTTAAGGAATTTGCATATAGATGCAATATCTTGGGGGTGGAACCCTAGCCTAAAAAAATTCATTTATTATGTTTTTCACGTATACCTTATACATGACTTGAAGGTAATTTTATATAGTATTTTTAGTATGCCTATATTATGACTACAACCCATGACATAAGGGCAAATGTGCAATTTTCCTTTTACAGCATTTTACTGGCATTCAAAAAGTTTCAGATATTGAAGAATTTCAGATTTTCCCATTAGAGATGCTCAGCCTGGGGTCAGGGTTACAGCTCAGTGGCACAAGCATCTGCCTGGCAAGCACAAGGTCCTGAGTTCGATTCTTGGTACCAAAAAAAGAGATGCTCAGCCTGCACTACTATTGAATGAGTAGAAAATGGGTTTGTTTTTGCCCTTTATCAAAGACTCGTGGTTGTCAAGAGTTAACATAGTACTGTTGACTATTTACTATCAAGGATGGATCTGGGTTATGAGTGGATTTGGAATACTGTTCAAGTAAAATTGAATAAATGTAGTATTTTCATCACTAAAACTAAGAGGAGATAGGTTTCTTAATGCAAAATGAGGGAGTTAGAACTAATTGTTTCAGAGGATGGTGAGAATTGGTAGAGCAAATATTCTTAGGCAAGTCTGTATATATAATGCAAGTGCATACTCTAATACTCTCAGATGTCTCAGCAGCTGCTTTGCTTCCAAGTAACTCACCTTTGTTAGAATGTTCAATATGAATAGCCAATTTAACAAATCCTGGAGAAAAACTCACAGCTGGTTAATTTTTCCTTGAAGGAAATTTTTTTTTCTTTTTGAGGTGTTCTCTTGAAACATCCTGCGCTGCCCAGTCTCCAGGTCTATAAAGAGAATGCCCATTTTCTCTTTAGTATTAGTATTAGTCTCAAGCCTATTTTTCCAACAGGATAGGTTTACAAGGCTTCTATGTAAGTAAATCTTTGAAAAAGGAAATCTGGCTTTCCTCAGTGTTGATGAGCTGGAGGAATCTAAGCGATGAGTTGGCGTTGGTTCTTGATTCTCCAGTGTGAGTCTCAAGCAGCAGTAATGTGTAAGGTAAGAGGAAGAGGACAGCTGAGGAGGGCATCTCTCTAGAGATGAGAATCTTGCATTCTTGAAGTTTTATCTACCTAAGGTAAACTTAAAAATACATGAAGTATTATAATTGAATGGCTCTGAACAGGAAGAGTGTGGAAAAATATGCACATGGGATTTGATTCAGTTCTTCCTTCTTGTGAGAAAAAACACTGAGCTTGTTTTGCATCCACGACCAGAGCCTTCTGTTTGCCCCTTAGGATCATTAACTACCAGGGAGGCTTCGTGGTGCAATAAGGGCTTTGGATTAGGAGTGCTCTCTGCATCTTGGATAAGTTGTCATTTCACTTGAGCCACACAGTCTTTGTTTATCCCAAACATTTGTTAATAGCTGGTTGATCCTAGTTATTATGCTTGAGTCTGAAGTTACAAAAATGCTCCCTGAAGAGCTCGTAATCAGTAAGACAGATAAATAAACTGTTCTAAAATGTTGCGGTAAGTACCTGAGTAGAGAGAGTTACATGGTGCTTTGGGAAAAAGGGAAGTACTGGGTGGCATCAACAGGAACCTTTTAAATGATACTATCACAAGTCGGGCGTGGTGGCGCATACCTGTAATCCCAGCATTCAGGGAGGCTGAGGCAGGAGGATCGCTGCAAATTTGAGGTCAGCGTGGGCTACATAGAGAATCAAGGCCATCCTGGACTACATAGCAAAACCCTGTTTAAAAAAAAAAAAAAAAAAAAGATGCAAAAAGTTTGGTGATGTGGCTCAATGCAAAGTCTGTCAGTTTAATTTCCAGTACCAAAGAGGAAAAAAGACAGTATTTTAGGTAAGGGTTGTATGGGCAGGTTAGAGTCCCCTTGAATAGGGGTAAAAAAAAAAAAAAAAAAAAAAATTCAGTGTGGCCTATTGTTTCAAAACCAGGATTTTGGTGACAGGCTGTTCTAAATTCAGTCTTGAGACTGCCATGTTCATAGGCTGATGGATTTGTACTTCCTGAATCTTGCTTTCTTGACTAAAATGGGAAGGTCTGCCTAGGATCATTTTGAAGATTAAACTGAAAAATGTGTATAAATCTTATATAGTACCTAATTCATAGAACTCAGTTAATGGTAGCAGCTCTTCTTACTCCAGGAAAAGGAAACTATTTACAGAAAGTGGGTGCGTGAAAGTATGCTGGGCTCTGAACTACAGGTTGTTCAGCATGGCTTGAAAGGAGGTTTTGTATGGAGAGAAGATGGAAGTGATCTGGAGAGCTGGGGAGGGACCACACCCTGAAGCACTCCATCAGAATAATGATGGGTTTACCATCAACACTTTCCTCAAAGGAGTGACAGTTAGGGTGTCATTCAGCTTCAGAGAGTGAATGACCTGAGACTTCATCTGGGCTTTTATAGCTCGTTCTTAGTAGCCAACACTCATGTGAGCCAAATGATTTCCCTGTAGACAGAGTAGATGTTGCATAATACTTCTTGTCTTTCATTCCCAGGATATGATGGATGATATCTGCCAGGAACAATTTCTAGAGCTGTCATACTTGAATGGAGTACCTGAGCCCTCTCGTGGACGTGGGGTGCCAGTAAGAGGCCGGGGAGCTGCACCTCCCCCTCCACCTGTTCCCAGGTAAAGATAAAGTAGACAGCTAAAAATAGGATGTAAGTTTAACTGCTAGAACCATCTCTCTATTAGTGGTGCTCTTGTAGCCTAGGAGTGGTCTCAAGATTTGTGTGTTATATCAAGAATGAAATTATATTAAATGCTAGTGAGGATGCAGGGAAAAAGGAACCCTTCTATACTGCTGGTGGAGTATAAATTAGTACAACCATTATGGAAATCAATATGGGAGTTCCTCAACAAACTACCACTTGATCCTGCTGTACCACTCATTGGTGTATATACCAGAAGGAACTACATTCAGCATACCACAGGGATACCTGCAAGCCCACGTTTATCGTGGCATAATATACAGTGTCCAAGGTATGGACCTAGCCTAAGTACTTGTCAACAAATGAATAGATAAAGAAAATGTGGCATATACACATAATGGAATATTATTTAGCCATTAAAAAAAACCTGATATTTTGTGATTTACAGAAAAATGGAGGGATGTGGAAGTCATCACATTGAGTAGAATAAGCCAGATTCAGACAAATACTTCGTGTTCTTCCTAAATATGGAATGTAAAATACATGACAACAAAGTAGGAGAGCTGGGGATGTAGCGTAGTGCCAACAGCACTTTCCTGGCGTGCATGAGGTCCTTGGGTCAATCCCCATTATTGCAAAAAAGGAAAAAAATCCTAAACACACACAAATAAAATTCCAAAAATGACAGCTGACCAAATCAAAATTTCAGCCAGGCATAGGGGCACGTGCTTGTAATTCCAGTGCTGAGGTAGGAGCATTGCCACAAATTTAAGGCCAGGCTGGGCTAGGTAGTAAGCTAAAGGTCAGCCTGAATTCTACAAGGTGAGTCCCTGTCTCAAAAGACAAACAAACCAAGAAAGAAGAAAGTGAAGGGAGACTATTATTAGACAAGTGAAAGGGAAGAAGGGGCAAGAGGGGGGCACGTAAAGGCAGGTTGTGATCAAAATATGTTACACATATTGAACCCCTCTCCCCAAAAAAAGCAGAAACTGGGGAGAAGAGGGGTGATTATGTTATGGGCATGTACAAATCTGCCAAAATGAAACCCAGTAATCTATATAACTACCATGCACTACTAATAAAAATATATAGTGGTAAATGCTGAGCACTGAAAAAAAAACCACAATGGAATTCTAGCTGGGCGGCTGGCACCATCTGTAACGTCAGCTTCCCAGGAGGCCAAGGCAGGGGGAGTGTGAGTTTGAGGCCAACCCAGGCAACTCAGTGAGAGACCTTATCTCAAAATAAAAAAATTGTAAAAAGGGCTGAGGATATGTGGTTCAGTAGCAGAACACTTGACTAAAAAGCACAAGGCCCTAGGTTTAATCCCAAGTACGTGGGTGGTGGTGGGATATATTCTAGATCTCACAAACTTTGATCATAGTCAGGCACTACAGTCTTGCTGAAACTTTTGGTTTTTTAAATTTCAAACAGTCCTAACCTTTTTAAGCAGTCTGACTTCAGAATTTTACTTTTTGTGATTGATGTTTATGGAATGTGTAGACTGTCCAAATCTGACTAAGGTGTACTGATCCACTATGGGACCTGGGCAGTCTCCCAGCACAGGTCTGTTGCCCACCTTCACGTTCCAGTATTAATCTGATCAAGGCATTGTAAAATGTTTAGCTCCAGAATTTGCAAACAATTGTAAACATAAAAGTGGCCTATTAAAAGTTTCATTTAAAATAAATTTTCTTTTTTTAGGGGCCGTGGCGTTGGACCACCTCGGGGGGCTTTGGTGCGTGGAACCCCAGTGAGAGGCGCCATCACTAGAGGTGCCACTGTGACTAGAGGAGTGCCACCCCCACCTACAGTGAGGGGTGCTCCAGCACCAAGAGCACGGACAGCAGGCATCCAGAGAATACCTTTGCCTCCACCCCCTGCACCAGAAACATACGAAGAATATGTAAGAATATTTTGAACAGTGTACCATTTTCCAATACCTGGAAGGTTTCCCAAGGAAGTTAAATGACAGGGTTTTGACCCTTTATGTAGGCGAGGGACTACCTCTTAAATTTAGAATCTGCCTTATATAGTGAATGTTGAACTCTCAGATTTTTCTATTTTAGACATGGCTTACTACTTACATATAGATAACTGGAAAGTAAGCTGTGCTTTAATGTATGTTTTACTAAGGGATCTTCTACTACTACTGATAATACCAAAGCTCAGTTTTATACTTCTCCAGTCACATTTGTTCTATGGCATATCATATTTGTTTGAGCTTTACCTGTGTGTTTGCTTAGTAACCTTTTCTCTCTTGACTGTTCCATAGTGAGTATTAATATTTTGGAGGAAAATTCTATGTCCTGTTAATCCAGAGAGCTGTTAATAATCTAGAAGGCTGTTATACCCAGGAGTCTGGTGTGGGATATAATTGCTTTCTCTACTGTCTACAATTCTGATCTTGTATTTCTTTTTTTTCTTTTTTTTTTTTTTTTCAGGGATATGATGATACATATGCAGAACAGAGTTATGAAGGCTACGAAGGCTATTACAGCCAGAGCCAAGGGTGAGTGAGGCAGCACAAGTGTGTTTGGTGTCCTGGGGATGGATGGATGGATGAAATTGGAGGAACTCAGATTTAGGCAGCACTAACTAAGGAGCAGTATGACTTATATTTTGAAGGTACCTCTTCTGCTTTTGACATCTGTGAGGCACACACTTGGATCTGGAAGTTTGGATAACTGAATTTGAATTTAGAATCTAGTTTTGAATTTAGTAGATGAAAAATCCCCAAGCTATGACTGCATGGCAACAAATATACCTTTAAATAATTTTGATTTATTATTAAGAAATAGGCTGGGCATGGTGGCACACCCCTGTAATCCCAGCACTCAGGAGGCTGAGGCAGGAAGATCATCACAAGTTCAAGGCCAGCCTGGAGTACATAGCAAGACTGTCTCAAAAATAAATAAAAAGGGGCTGGGGATTTAGCTCAGCGGCAAAAGCGCCTGCCTGGCAAGCGCAAGGTCGTGAGTTCGGTTCCCGGTACCGGAGAAAAACCAAAAAATAAAAATAAAAAATAAAAACCATAACTTCATTAAAATTGCCTAAAATTTTTAGAGGAAGCTAATATCCCACTGCAATAACTTGGGTTATTTTTTCTATTTTTCTTAAAAAAAATTTTTTTTGTTTGTATGTATGTGTATCATACCTGTGATTGAAAAAGTCTCAGAATTTTATAATGGGCACAAAATAGCTCTTTTCCTATTTGTTTATTCTCTTCTAGTTAAGTCAGTGAATATTTGTTACACTGATTAAGGGGTCATTTTAGGATTCTACTTTTTCACTTTAAATTATGTGTTATCTATTTTTCCTTGCTATGGTTAAACGTTTTTTGTCAGTATGTGGTGCATACATGTTTTAGAAATATTTTGGGGCGTCTACGGCCATACCACCCTGAACGCGCCCGATCTCGTCTGATCTCGGAAGCTAAGCAGGGTCGGGCCTGGTTAGTACTTGGATGGGAGAAATATTTTGGGGCTTTAGGGATGGGACAAAATGAACATTTTCTTGTATTTTACACACAATAAAATGAGTGTGGAAGTATTTGAGAAAAGGCTGGAACTAAAACTTTGTTACTGTATAGCTTTTTAAAATTCTTGTCTTTGGTTTTCAGGGACTCAGAATATTATGACTATGGACATGGGGAGGTTCAAGATTCTTATGAAGCTTATGGTATGTCTTTATTTATGTGACAGAATGTACACATATGTGCCTGGGAGAATGCTGGTGACTAGATTCATGGAAGTCAGTTATATACTCAAGGAAGAACCTTTAGAAAATGGTGGTGTTGACAGATGTGATGTTCAGAGTCTGTTGAATTCTATGATGTGTGATAGAAAGAGGGCCTGTAAAGTGAGGTGGGAGTAGACTACTGATACTCATGGAAGGCTGAGTACATATCTTAAACTAGGGGCTCAGATCCAGCTTGGCTGGGCTGGAGCAGCAGACTTTTTAGCAGATAGTGATTATTTTTACTTTAGACAGGGAACACTAGATCTTCATTATTTTTCTGGGCTAATATTTAGGTATATTGATAAATAAGAACTCAATCATCTCCAGCTCTACTTTTCTGGGCCACCTTGTTTTTTAAGATAATTTTGGCTCCCACCAAAAAGAATCTCAGTGTAGAGGAGATGGCAGCTGAAACGAACTTAGTAACAAGCAGCACATCAGAGCAGTTGTATTAATCAGCCTCTGGTACACAATACCCACACTTAAGGAAAAGAAGTTTCTGGCAAGTATGAGGTCCTGAGTTCAATTCCCAGTACCCTACCACCATCACCGCCACCGCCTGCAAAAAAGGAGAGGTTTAATTTGGCTCTTGGTTTCAGGGGCTTCAGTCCATGGTTGGCTGGCTACAAGGCAGAAACATCATGACAGAAGAGTATTTTAGAGCAAAGATGATTCGTTTTTGGTGTCTGGGAAGTAGAGCAAGGGAATAGTGCCACAGTAGAAGAAGGGGTCAGAGACCATACATAGTATTGCAGAGGTCACACTTCTGTGACCCACCCAGACACATTCAGAATCTTAATCTAGTCCTGTTAACAAAGTAGTAAATGGTCATGATAGGTTAGGATTGTAAGAATAGTGATGGTGAAATCAGATAGGAAGCTGCAGGACTGAACCAAGTAATACTGGTACCATGCTCCTTACTAGTTTTTAGATAGCTCAGTCCTTGCTCCCAAGAGAGAGAGAGAGGCTGGAGGAGCAGCAGAACTGAACTGTTTTCTCTGAGATTTGGTTGAAAACACATTGCTCAAATGTGTCCTCGAGCCAAGTGTGGCTCCATGTTAATGGGGCCCAGCGGGAGTGCCATATGGCAGTGGATAGAGAGAGCAGCCTTTTAAATGTGAAGCCTTTTTCTCTTACCTATGGGACTTCCAGGGAATCCTTGGCAAGGGGCTTAGCAACCTGAGTGTTTATCTGAAGACACCAGTTGATACTCTCCTTACCCTTAGCTAAAAAGAAGAACCTCTTAGGCCTCCCACAGACAAGCAAGCTAAGCCTTAGTATGGCATAAAATAGCCAATCAGGTGCTTGTGGGGGGTGATAGGTGGGGGTTAAACCAGTTTTAAGTAAATAGTACTAAACAGTTGCCATGAGTAACACTGTATTGCTGTGCACACATGCCAGTATTTAGAAGAGCAATATGATTGGACCTGGGTATTTCCTCCATCTGTGAGGCAGTACAATGGGACCTCTGTATGTGTTTGACTAAACTGCATTTCTGTTTTGCTGGAGAGAAGACCAAACTATAAAAGGCAGGCTGTTCCTTTTGCTTTTGGTGTGATGTTGCCATGGTTAATTTCTCATATCTGCCTTTATAAACAGAATTAGAAAAGTAAATTGTCTTCTGGGTATCTAGAAATCTCTTGGAAAGTAATGGGCATAGATAATTATATTAGGGGTATAAATAGGATTCTAGGTGACTTTAGATCCATATAGGAGTTTAAGACTTATGGTGATAGAAGAAGGTATATCTGACTAGCAGCAGCTGCAGAAATAAATACTTCAGGATGAACTGGCACAGGGAAGGTGTGGAAGTAAGTGGGAAGAATAAGCTTAAACACAACTTATTTTCATAGCGGTCATCTGTAGAAGTAAGTGATCATCTTCAGGCTTTTCTCTGTCACAAAGGAAAACCATTTGAAGATGTCAGCTATGTTATCTGGCTTTTCTCAACTGTTGACATAGAAAGGAACTAAGGAATTCTTCTAAACAATTTTTGTAAATGGAGCATTTGTTTGTATGTAGATACAAAAGCAGTGAGTACCAGCTGTGTTGATGGAGGCCTTTGGTTAATATAGCCCTTGCTTGCTCCTCCCTGGGAGCCAGGGAGCACTTCTGCATGGCGAAACCTGACTTGCTGTTGGATACTTCCAATCTGAAAGACTTTCACAATTTTTATCACATTGTCTGAGGCTGCCTGCCGATTGCTTTGGGGATAGAAAAAGGCCATTGCAGACACTGAGATTAATGTCTGCCTTGCTGTCTTGAGCAAAGTGTTGGTTTTATGCAGGTTTGAGGACTGGAGTATCAGTCACACTGCCTATGAAGACCCAGGTTGTTGCTGGAGATTACTGAAGAATAAATGCTAGGTCTTTTTTGTCTTCCCGCTCAAAATAGCCAAATATTCAAAACACTAAGCAGAGTGGTGATCAAGGACCACTAGAGAGATATCGAGACACTGGTAGAAAGGGGTCTTATAGCTGGGCATGGTGGTGTACACCTGTAATCCCAGCAGCTCAGGAGGCTGAGGCAGAAGGATCTAAAGTTTTGGGGCCAGCCTGGGCAATTTAATGAGAACGTGTCTCAAAATTTAGTGGCATAGTGGTACACATAGGTAATACCACAACTCTGGGAGTCTGAGGCAGGAAGATTGCAAGTGTGAGCTCACAGTGGGCAGTTCAGCAATTTAGTGGGACCCTCTCTCAAAGTAAAAAATGAGGATGGGTATGGTGGTGCATGCCTGTAATCCCAGTACTTGGGAGGCTGAGGCAAGAGGATCACTCTGAGTTCAAGGCCAGCCTGAACTGCATAATGAAACCATCTAAAAATGAAAAATAGAAAAGGACAGGGATATAGTTCAGTGTGAAGGCCCTGGTTTCAATTCCCTGTTACTGGGAGGAGGAAATAAAGGGCAGGAGATACATAGTAGCTCAGTGGTAGAACATTTACCTAGCATATATGACACCCTAGGTTTAATCCCTAGTACCATAAAAAAGCAAAACCAGTGTTGGGTGATATTTAACAGGTGAGTTGCTCACCCCAAAATGTTGTTGATACATAGTTTATAATCTGTCTTTGCTTCTCCCACAGGCCAAGATGACTGGAATGGGACCAGGCCATCTCTGAAGGCCCCTCCAGCTAGGCCAGTAAAGGGAGCATACAGAGAACACCCTTATGGACGTTATTAAAAACAAACAGGAGGGGAAAATATCAATTATGAGCAAAGTTGTTACTGATTTCTTGTATCTCCCAGGATTCCTGTTGCTTTACCCACAGCAGACAAGTAATTGTCTAAGTGTTTTTCTTCGTGGTCCCCTTCTTCTCCCCACCTTCCTCCATTCTTAACTCTGCATTCTGGCTTCTGTATGTAGTATTTTAAAATGAGTTAAAATAGATTTAGGAATATCGAATTAATTTTTTAAGTGTGTAGATGCTTTTTTTCTTTGTTGTTTAAATATAAACAGAAGTGTACCTTTTATAATAAAAAAAAGTTGAGTAAAAAAAAAAAACCACAAACCTGTTAGTTTCAAAAGTGACATTGCTTGCTTAAAGGTTCTGAAGTAAAGGCTTGTTAACTTTCTCTTAGTTTTGATTTGAGGCATCCCGTAAAGTTGTAGTTGCAGAATCCCAAACTAGGCTACATTTCAAAATTCAGGGCTGTTTAAGATTTAAAATCACAAATGTTAACGGCAGTAGGTACCACCATGTAAAAGTGAGCTCAGACGTCTCTAAAAACGTTTCCTTTAAAAGCACATGGCGGTTGAATCATAAGGTTAAATTTTAATATGAAAATCCTCATGAGTTAAATAGTTGATGCAATTTTTAACGTTAATTGACTTAAAATACAACAACAACAAAATTAGGTTTGTAAAACTGAGTTTTTCACTATGTGGGTTTTGAAATCTAGCCCCAGACATACAGTGTTGAGAGATACTTAGGGGAAGAACAGATTTTAAAGAGGTTGATTGGGGGAGAGGGACTGGCCTCCTATTTTGAATTTGATGCTGAGCTTCTTAGCCACATTCTTTCAGTAATAGTACTAATAATTAAAATGTCAGTATTTAAAGTGACAAGTATTTTGTCCATCTGAGATTCTGCACTCCAAGGAAAAGTGCAGACGCTGGACACTGGAGCCAAAAGCTGATGGTTTTAAGTTGACGGTTGTCAAAATTGAACTGTTCCAAGGTAGTTAGTCAAGTATGTCTCAACACTAGCATGATATAAAAAGGGACACTGCAGCTGACTGAAAAAGGAATCAAAATCCACTTTGTACATAAGTTAAAGTCCTAATTGGATTTGTACCGTCCTCCCATTTTGTTCTTGGAAGATTAAATGCTACATGTGTAAGTCTGCCTAAATAGGTAGCTTAAACTTATGTCAAAATGTCTGCAGCAGTTTGTCAATAAAGTTTAGTCCTTTTTTAATCAAAGTAAATGTGATGAATTGTCATTTTTTGGGGTGGACAATAAAATAATTTTCTCTTTCAAATAAACTTAAATTAACTCTAAAGTTAATGGGCTTGTTAAAAGTTGGAAACATTTTTAAAAGTGGTGGGGGGGATTTTATTTTAAGTTTACAAAAAAAAGTTTATTGAGTTGTTAAGTTTTAGTTTAAAAATAACCAAAGCTTTTTCACCCCCTGGAAGTTGTTGAAAGCAGTTCTATCCAGTCCTATCAAACGTTCTGATTTCTGGAAAGAGAAAGCAAGAGACCAACACTTCGATTGATTTTCATACATAGGTCTCAGTACTTAAAAGGACCAGCTACCACACTTACACCTTCTGTAGAGCCCTCAGGTGACCCTAAAGAGTGATACCAAATCTCTGAGCTCTGAAAGGGATAGCACCTGTCTTCCACAATTCAGCAAATCCTGGGTGCCCGTAAAGGTTTCCCTTCCAACACCAGAAGCTGTTAACTCAGCTGGCCTGGGGCAACATCTGACATGACAGGCTGGCCCTAGGTTCCATTCTACAAGACTAAAGAGGAAATAATGGAATTGGTTGGCCCCAGTTCTACTCCTCTGTGTTACTTCTCAGGGTTCTCATGTCTTCCCTAAGAGAGCCATCAAACTACTCGGGGGTGAAAAATCCTCTTGTATGAAATGCCAAGCTGCCTGCAGCAGTGCATGATGGACATTTTTTTTCTTTTTAAAACACACCAACAAAAAAAATGTATTTGTAGATTGTGATAAAGTGTAAATAACTGAATTTTCAACCATGGTTTGAAGTCAGCTTTCAGGGCATTATGTCTTGTTTTGATGAAAAGAGATCACTCTATACCCCCCTTTTTAAAGGAAAATTATCGCAAGAGAATCAGGATGTGTAAAGCTAACATGCATCGCAAAAAACCAAAGGTAACCTAAATGTCTGATTTTAATAGCACATATTTCTCTTTTATATAAACTGTGACAGCAACTTGCATAAACAATTCTTTAGCTATTAATTTTAATGTAAAAACTTTGCAAAACTTGTTTAATAAAAATAGCTGTAAAAAGAAAAACCATATGCTGCCGCATAAATTAGCCATAACTCTTAATAATCCTGCCCATCACAAGTGAACTGTAATGTAACCTGGGCACAGAGTCTGACATCTTAAATGACACATTGTAAAATTTCAATGACTGTAGATTAGAACTCCTGCTGCACCCCAAAGTAAATCTTTCTGTTCAGCTATTTTAAAATGTACAAGGATAAGCCCCATAGGACCCCATATTGATATTCACAGTGAAATGCTACTTAAAATTTAAAAATTGCATGTTTCTCTCCTGTAATGTATAAACTGCATGCAGGATCTCTTATCTTTATTTTGTATGTCTTTAAAACTTCCTTTTCAAAAAACTGATCTCTTATTTCTCCATTTTCAGGTGATTGAAAACTCCTGAGACATTTCCTGGACTAGAATGGGTAGTGAAGACCCATGTCAGGTATGTTAAGATGACTTTCTGTTAAGGATGTGGGCCTTTTATCATAACTGAGATTGTCATGCTAGGAGATAGCCTAGAAAGTAGTCAGATAGGCCATTGTTTTTTTCTATAGTCATTTGTAACATGGCCATACTTACATGTTAGTTTATAGCCCATAATGAGTTTACCTCTAATGGTTAATAAGACTAGATAATGTCAACTTAAATGTATTGAGTATCTCATTCTGTCAGTGACCCAGTCAAGCAGTGTTTCCTTTGGAGTTCATTGGTTGCAAGCAGCAAAGTGGCTAATGTGAACAAAAGAGAATTTATTAGGTGTTAGGCATTCAGATTTAGTGTGAAGTCTAAAAAATCTGGCTTGAGAACCATAAGAGCTGTACAGAACTGGGACAGTAGTGGGAGACCACTAGAATGGTCTTAGAATAGGGACTGGCTGCTTGGGCACTACTAGTGGAATAAGTAAACCCTGTATATATCTTCCCCTATTCAAGACCTCAGGCTGTAGGGAGGGAATGTCAGACTGGATTAGCTTGTCATAGGCCCATATATTACAACTCCTCAGTACTTCTTCAGAGTTGGGGTGTTACCAGGAAAGAAAATGAGTACCTGGTATCCAAAAAGCAATTATACAGTAATACCAATATTTTAAAGAAGAAACAAACCCAGTGAGGTTAAGTAACTTCCCAAGGTTGCATAATTTGTGTGATTAATAATTAAGCCCAAGTAGGTCCATTCCCAGGATGTGTGTGTGTGTGTGTGTGTGTGTGTGTGTGTGTGTGTGTTTTACTAGCAATTGAACCCAAGGGTGCTCTGCCACAGAGCTATATCCCCAGCCCTTTATTATTTTGAGATGGCTTTGCTAAGTTGGCCTCAAACTTGGGATCCTTTTTTGTTTTGTTTTGTTTTTTGTCCGGTACCAGGAATTGAACTCATGACCTTGCATTTGCCAGGCAGGCGCTGTGCCGCTGAGCTAAATCCCCAGCCTTGGAATCTTTCTGCCCCAGTCTGAAGAGTAGCTGAGATGACAGGCATGTGCCACTCATCCAGCCAGAATATGTCATCTTAACCTTACAGTATACTCCTTTTTATCTAGGGCAGAGATGTTTGTCTCCTTAGAAGAGCATCTGTAGGAGTATCGTGTAGTAGAAAGAACATGGAGCCTGAAAAACCTTCAGTTGAATCCATGAAGCTGTCTTTAATTTGTTTTATTTTCACATATGGGTAAGGAAGATGGTGATAATGCATACCTCACAGTGACTGGCACACTGAAGTAGTTCCAAACTATAAAGGGGTAAGGCTGCTGGTAGAGTTCAGTGGTGGAGCACATACCTAGCATATGCAAACTCCTGGGTTTGGTCTCCAGCACTGAGGAGAAATACCCTTAACTGCTTAGTGAGCCAAAGGCATATATGGTTTTAGATTGAAATTTGGCTTTTTGATGTTCATTTCTTCCAAACCTCCCTCTCAGCCAGGAGCTTCTGAGATCTGGAGGCTCTAAGGAGGGCCATATGTACTGAGCATAGTTCTGAACACCTGAGAAGTCCAAAATTTTGATAATAGTCACATGAATGGCTAAGAAGTTTAGGGGGGAAATCTTTTAATTCAAAAGATTTAATCTCAGTTTTTCCTAGAGTAGACATTTTTAAAATACATTTTATTGTGTATATTTTTAATATATTATGAAATATATATATGTAGGAATATCATATAAACAGATACCTTTATAATAGAGTATCTTTATGAACAGATTATAAAGAGGTTACTATAATGAGGCAAATTACCATATCCATCATTTTACATAGCCAGTGTTTTTTGTGCCAAAATAGCTAAAATTAATTTTTAAAATTGATTTTATTTGTACATTTTATTATTTAAATTAAGTTTATTCATACATTCTGGGTATATATAATGATCACATTTATCCTAGGGAATTTATACTTGTACATGATATATCTTCTTTTTTTTCCCATTCCCCTCTTTTCCCTTCAATCCGTCTTCCCCTCCCTATTTACAAAAGCTTTGTTTCCATTTTTTCCTTTTTTTCTCTTTTTTTTTTTCCTTCCTTTTCTCTTCTTTTTTCCCTCATCCCTCCCAGGTTCCCTTCCCACTTGAACATTTTCTTTCTATTTCACAATATCTGTTACACATTTTAGTCCTTACTTACACTTTTAGTTTCTCATAACAGAGACCATGTAATATTTGAGTATGTGTGTCCAATTTATTTCAGTTAAGAGTATGGTCTCAGGGTGCATCCATTTAGCTAGAAATGTCTCAAGTTTATCCTTCTTTATGGCTGAGTTAGTACTCCATTGTATTAAAAAAAAAAAAACCACATCTTTACCTATTCATCAGTTGATGGGCATTTTTAGCTGTTCCCAGGATTTAGCTATTACAAACTGTGCTGCTATAAATGTGAGTGTGCATATATTGCTATGGTATAATGCTTTTAATTCTATTGGGAAAATAACGGTACCAAGAGGAATAGCTGAGTCAAGTGGAACCTCTAGTTTTAGTCCCCTCAGCTCTACCAGCATTTGCTCTTGGTTGATTTCTTGATAATAGTCATTATTGCTGGGGTGAGATAGGAAGCTTAAATCTAATTTAGCATGAATTCCATATACAGAACAATTTTAATTTCTGTAAGCCCTCATGTGGTTCATTAGATCTCTAGACTTGTTCGTGCATACCTGCTCCTTTGTACATCTCCCATCTCCCCATTTCCTCCTTTTTGTTCTATTCCTAGGGTAGTCATAAGAACAGAAATGGGGGCTGAGGTATAGCTTGGTAGTAGTGTGTTTGCCTAGCATACACAAGACCTGGCTTTGAGCCTCAACACCACAGCCAAAAATAAAGGAAATGGAATTTTAAGTGTAGAGAAGTTCATGTCATTTGCACTGTGATTTGTGCTTGAAAAGGCAGGTTCTAGCTATTTGTAGACTCAGGCTTAGAAGTGATTTGTCTGTCTATTCTGAGTGTGTATCTTAATGAATTGAAGTGTCTTCTGTAGCTTTCTATCACTTACTACCTGTGACCTTTTGTTACAGTTCTGTAAGCTGTAGAGTCAGACAAGATGAGTACTTGTCTTGGCTGTGCTTCACCTTAGCCTTTGTCACTTTAGACAGACAAAACAAATCCTTAGCCTTTTTTATGCTTCATTTCTTTATCATCAAATGAAGTTAATAATAATAGATAAAATTTATCTCTACAAGGCCAGGTGTGGTGGTGCACACCTGTAATCCCCACACTTGGGAGGCTGAAGCAGGAGGACCCCTGTGAGTTTGAGGCCAGTCTGGGTTACATAGTTCAAGGCAGGCCTGAGCTACATAGTAAGACCCTGTCTAAATAAATGACTGAATGAATCATAATACCCTAACCAGTTTACTAAAAATTTTCTTCTCTGAGTTAAAATTTACCTAGAATTAGGTAAATTTACCTAGAATTACCTAGAATTTTATCATTCTAAGTGGTTTTTATTATATTCACAGTGCTTTGCAGTCACCACCACTATTTAATCAAAACATTCCTGTCTCCCCCAGAAGAAATCCTGTACCTATTAATATTCACATCCTTTGTCCCCAGTCCTTGGCTGCTAATTACCTTTTCGTTTTTATGGATTTGCCTATTCAAAAATTTCATGTAAGTGAAATTGTATAGATGCACCTGTCATCATTGGTTCCTCCCAGGTTGCACACTGTTTTCAAGTTCGTGTTAACATATTAGTACTTCATACTAGTGACAGAAGACATAGTACTTCCAAAAGCACTCCCTTTCAGGGGTCCGGAGTACAGCTCAGTGGCAGAGCATTTGTCTAAATAGTGCAAGGCCCTGGGTTTGATTCCCAATGCCACAAAAAAGCAAAAGGAACCACACCAACACATATACCCTTGCTTGTTTTGTAAGTGGTGCTCAGGATTAAACCCAAGGCTTCATGCGTGCTAGGCAAGTGCTCCTCTTGCCTCAACTTCTGAGTAACTAGGATTACACGCATATGCTACCATGCCCAAAATGGACAAGTTTTTGTACAAGATAATATGTTTTCCATTTTTGTGTCTATATACCTACGATGGAAATTGCTGGGTCATGTGGTAACTGTGCGAAGTTTGAAGAATTGCCAAGCTGTTACCCACATAGGCTCCTTCATTCCCATCAGAAGTGTATAAGGGCTTCAGTTTTTCTGTATCCTCACCAACATTTGTTAATTTCCATTATAGCCATCCTAGTGGGTGTGAAGTACTATCTCATTGTAGTTTGCATTTCCCTAATTATTGTTGTCAAGCATCTTTTCATGTGCTTGCTGGCTGTTTCCTTCCTTGGAGAAATGTCTGGGGGTTTTTCTTTGTTCTTTTTCTTTTATTTTTGTCTTTTTGAAGCAGGGTCTTGCTATGCAGTTCAGGCTGACCCTGAGCTAACTTTGTAGCTCAGGCTAGCATCAAACTCACAATGATCCTCCTGCCTTAGCCTCCCAAGTGCTGGGATTATAGGCATGCAGCACCACACCTGGCAGAAATGTCTGTTTAAATGAAAAGTCTGTTTAAATCCTTGGCCCCAGTGCGTGGGTGGGTGGATGGGTGGATGGATGGATCTTTTTTGTGACTAGGTCTTACTGTGTAATTCAGGCTAGATCACTGTGTAGCCTACGCGAACCTCGAAATCATAGCAATTCTCCTGCCTCAGTTTCCCTAGTGTTGGGATTATACTTTTGCACTACCAGGCCTGGCTTCCTTGGCCCACTTTTAAATTGGATTGTCTGCTTATCTGTTTTTGTCTTTGTTTTTTTTTTGAGACAGTCTTACTGTGTAGTTCAGACTGGCCTTGAACCCATGGAGAACTTCTTGCCTTAGCCTCCTGAGTATTAGGAATATAGGTGTGTACTACCGTGTCTGGCACAGTTGTCTTTTTATTATTGAGTTGTAAGTTTTTTTTTATCTGTTGTGGATGCTGGACTCATTTCCCTCTACTCAGGAGTTGTCGTTTTACTTTATTTCAAGCAAAAAGAATTTT